AAATAATTAAATCGTGACTTGGTGATTATATTAGCTAACACGATTTGAGATCATAGGGCTGTCGTAAATTATGATTTCCCCAATGGAGTGGAAGACTATGTTCATAGAATAGGAAGAACAGGAAGAGCTGGAGCGACTGGTCAGGCATTCACATTCTTTGGTGATCAAGATTCGAAACATGCTTCGGATCTGATCAAGATTTTGGAAGGAGCAAACCAGCGAGTTCCTCCTCAGATCCGCGAAATGGCTACCCGTGGTGGTGGTGGAATGAACAAATTCAGTCGTTGGGGTCCTCCTTCCGGAGGCCGTGGTCGTGGTGGCGACTCTGGTTATGGTGGCAGAGGTAGCTTTGTTTCGCGTGACAGGTAAAATTAACATACAACCTTGTTTTATTTTTGTATGCCATAGAAAATATGATTCTGACTTTGAGATTGTATAAATTTTTGATGGGAAGTAGAAGCAGTAATGGATGGGGAAGAGAGCGTGAAAGAAGCCGTAGCCCCGAGAGATTCAACAGAGCTCCACCACCGTCTTCCACGGGATCTCCTCCTCGCAGCTTCCACGAGACGATGATGATGAAACACAGATGAAAAGAGAGACACAAAGCTGAGAAAGCCAAGTGACGATGATTGTGTTATGGGGGATAATCCCTTATTACTGGTGACATTATATATTTTTTTTGGCCGATGAAAAACTTTTAAAAAAAAAAACAGGACCAAGAAGACATTCCCTCCCATTGGAAACTTACGTTCAAAACTACAATTGATATCTTACGGTTTGTATTTCATCAATTTATTATGCACTTCAGAGATCGGTAAGAATGTTTTATTAGAACGACGAACAATTTGTATCTGATACTGTTGGGATTCTCTAGCATTTAAATTAAATATTAAAGTGGTGTTATGATTTCGCCTTAGTATGGTTTGGTTTGGTTCAGTGTAGTTCGATATGACAAACCGATTCTTTCTACCCAATCGAAAAAATCAAATTAAAAACCAAGTCATACATTAATGTATAGTTTAGATAGACCTATATATCGAATATCTTAATCTTTTTTTTTTTTAAACATCTATCTTTCATTCAAACGGTATACGGATGATACAAAAGGTTCACCAACCAAAAGGGTGGTACAGTAAATGTTTGATACATGGAGTTCATAATTGCAGCATGTCGAGAAAGAATATCTGCAGCTGCATTTTTCTCTCTGTTGATGTGAGCTATGGAAGCTTGTGGTAATTTTCTCGTCCAGTTTCGTATGTCATAGAGGAGTGGTCCAAGATCAAGGCGATCTCCATTCGTATTAATCAGATGAACCAATTCCTGATTGTCACCTTCAAACCAGACACAACGATACCCGCTTGCCCATATGACTTGAAGAACATGAAGAAAGCCTAATGCTTCTGCTTGTAGAGCTGAGTGAGCTTTTTGTAATCTTGCACATCCGGACGTAATCATCTTTCCATTGCAGTCTCTGAGAATCCATCCTGTCGGAGTGTACTCACTTCCTTGAACAAAGCCACTATCAAAGTTACATTTTACCCAGCCCATCGGTGGCGGTTCCCATTGTCTACTTCGAGTTCTTCTTTGATGTATGTTAGAAGATTGAGTAGTATTACTCACCTCCTGTGTACTGTTTTGTTGCGCTTCAAGCCATTCATTTGCTTCCTCGATACCTTTTCTTGCCTCATGACTCGGATGTCGATTAATTTTTCTGAAAAGGAAATCATTTCGAGATTTCCAAATTCTCCACATCAACCAAAACGGTAAGAGGCCTTTGTTAGTTGGTAGGACTGAGCTTTGTTGAAGCTGCAATAAAGTTTGTACGTTGATCTCGAAATCATCTCCAAATGTGAACTGTCTTCCTATCTCTGAGGTCACACATCGCCAAACTGCTTGAGCATGGGAACAAGTAAAGATGATGTGGTTGATTGTTTCTGCGTTTTGGCAACATCTTTGACATGTTGGATTTGCTGGGATGGATCTGGTTTGGAGTTGCGTTGCCGTTGGGACCGCTCCTGATAAGCACCGCCAAACAAAATGTTGAATCTTTGGTCCTATCTTGAGTTTCCATATCTCCTTTTTCAAATCAATGTGGCCAGCCGGAGGTTGAATGATCTCGTCTTCCTCTAAATCTATGTGCGTAGCGACCCAATAACCAGACTTCACTGTGTATTGAGCATCCTTTGTATACACCCATTCATGGCAATCTCGATCAGCATATTGAGAAAGGAATAACTTCTTTGCAAGTTGTTGGTCCTCTGGATTTAAAACTCCTTCAAAGATATTTTCATCCCACTCTCTTTTAGTGTCCTTCCATAAGTCTGATACCCTCATGTTATTATCCAGAACAGGTCCATTTGCTGGCCGGGGTGGCAAAGATGGTAGCCAAGGGTCCTCCCACACCCGTGTATTTTTTCCATTGCCAAGTCGAACGCGAGTACCTTTGAGAAGTAACAGCTTGCCCTCTTGAATTGACCGCCAACCATATGAAGCTTGGGTACCTGTTTTCGCTTGCAAATAGTTTGAGTGAGGGAAATACATACCTTTGTAGATTCTGGCCAGGAGGCTAGTAGGTTTAGTTAGGATTCTCCAAGCTTGTTTTGCAAGGAGAGCTTTATTGAAGTTGTGTAGATCCTTAAAGCCAAGACCTCCTTCATTTTTTGGGATAGACATTCGTTTCCAGGCCACCCATGGGATCTTTCTTTTTCCTTTATCCTCACCCCACCAAAATGAGGATATGACACTGATTATTTCGTCACATATGGTAATTGGTAACAAAAAGCAATTCATAGAGTAGACCGGTAGAGCCATTGCGATGGACTTGATGAGTATCTCTTTTCCCGCGGGGGATAGATACTTATGAGTCCATCCTTCTGTTCGGTCTTTAACTTTTGTAACTATATACTCAAACATCTCTACCTTTTTCCTGCCAAATTGTTCCGGAAGTCCCAAATATTTTCCGCCGCCTCCCACTTTTGAAATTCCCAAAATATGTTGAAGTCGCTGTCTCTTTTGCTCCAGGAGCTTAGAACCAAAGATCATCGAAGACTTCTGGTAATTTATTTTCTGACCTGAAGCCTGCTCATAGGTTTCAAAAATTGCCGCTAACTGTTGACAATTTGATGTTGAAGCTCGGCAAAAAAACAGAGAATCATCCGCGAAGAGAAGGTGTGAAATCGAGGGGCAGTGCTTCGTTAATTGAATACCTTGAAGTTTTTTATCTCTCTCTGCTCTCTTAAGCATAGTACTCAAAACATCCGCACAAAAAAGAAAAAGATAAGGGGATAACGGATCACCTTGTCGAAGGCCCCGCGATGGTCGAATATGTCCATATGGTGAGCCATTGATCAGAACCTCGTAGGAGACTGTAGATATACACGCCATTATCCATTGAACCCATCTTGAATCAAAGCCTAACTGAATCATAACCCGTTCCAAGAAATTCCATTCAACGCGATCGTAAGCTTTACTTATGTCAGTTTTGACCGCCAAATAATCACTTTGAAAAGCTCTCTTTGATTTCAGAGAATGAAGAATCTCGTGTGCAACCAAGATGTTGTCGGAGATGTTTCTTCCCGGGACAAAGGCGGCTTGAGATTCAGAGATAACAGAACCGAGACATTGTTTTAACCTCATGATCATTACCTTTGAAATAATCTTGTAGTTTACGGTACACAAACTAATGGGTCGAAAATCTGCCATATGTTTTGAATCTGTGATCTTTGGGATTAGGCAAAGCTGAGTTTGGTTTATCTCCTCATCCATCTCCCCTGTTTCGAAAAATCGTCTTACCATTGCACAAACATCGTCTCCAACTTCATCCCAAAATTGATGGTAGAAAGCCGCTGAGAAACCATCAGTTCCCGGTGCTCTATCTGCTCCTATTGAGAAGGCAGCATCTTTTATTTCCTTATTTGTGACTGGGAGAAGAAGTTTTTTGTTCATAGCCTCTGTTACTCGCGGGTCAATATCGGAGATTATCGCTTCCATATCTGAATGTTGAGACGTAATCTTAATCTAATTACGAAATGAACAAAATAATAAACTATCTAAACATTTTTTCTTTTTGAATATATGGTTCAAATAAATATCGAAACAGTGACAGTACGTACAAATTTAACTAAGTTTTACTTTTGATACTATTATTCATAAACCTAAAATCTGAATAACTTGAACCCAAATCTGGATTAAACACTCTTAATTAATGCTTATGTTGATTCCACATAATATATGAAAATTTTCTGTAATATTATCTTAAAAGGGAATTATATATATGTAGTCATTTTCAAAAGTGTCATGTAGAACTTTTCCACAAAAAAAAAAAGGTTTAGAAAAAGAAGTTTGGTGAGTCTATGGCTTAGATGAATGTGTGTATCTTGAGTACTTTGATGATAATATGATTGATGACAGCCTATTAATCTCCAAATAGACTCTTGTTTTTTGTGGTTACAAATTAATTTTCCTTTTACAACTAAACGAATCATGAACTCCTATAATCTAAAATCAAAGCTCACACTACATGTTCACACATGGTTTTATTTTCCACTTATCAATATTAATTTTTCATTGATTATTAGGAGATAACCTTTTTATGAGTTTTTTTTTTGTTCACCAAAATAACAACTAATCTTAATAAATCATTATTATATAAATCAGGCATCAACCAAGATAACAACTAATCTTATAAAATCAGTATATATTGATAGTTTAATTTTTTTAAGAATTATATTAAAACGACTACTATTACTGAATATTAATCATCCAATTTTATATTCTCTTACATCAATATATATAATTGAATTGTAAGATGACACATCATTTAGATTTTCAGCCACAAAACCTCACTTACTAAATTTGGCACACGAATTACACCAAACCTTCTCAATTAATTGCCCAAAAGCACACGCTATTACAACTTTCATTTTATTTTCTCTATCTACTATTTAGATTTTCTTAGTATAAATTGTAAAATCGTAATCATACACACATAAATAAGTTGAACAAATAAAATACATTTTTCAGACTGTAATTTAGATGTGGTAAAATATAGTAAGTACAAAAAATATCAACATAAGTTTCAAAATTCAGAGAAGAAAGAACTTCATTGATTATGAGTACTAAATAAATAATGGCTAGTATAAATTAGTGATAGAGGGTTAGGAAGTAGTCGTTATATACATAAACTCAGTGTAATGTTTCTGTCAAGCTTTGCTTCTCTTTAATATTGTACTTTCTTCCTTCCCACTGTTTACAGTTCGTGTGGTCGTGAACTAATCACGCCAAGTTCTCGTTTAATTATTAAATTTATTGTTTAGTTTTTCTTGGCAACTTTAGAAGTTATGATTAAGTTTTGTAATCAAATACTACATATTTTAATTGATTTTGTATATATATACATATGATTTCATAAATAAATAAAAAACGAGTGTAATGTTATTTATATTTTCTGTTACAATTATTTATAAGGTTATGTGTATTATTACCAATTGAAGTATATAGTCACAAGTCAAAGTCTCAACCCTATAAAAGAAACATTCGTTAATTATCATCTTCCCGCCTCGAGTATCTCTCTGTTCACTCTATTGATTGCATAGACAAAAAAAAAAACACATACACACAAAAGAAAGAAAGAAAGAAAGAAAGAAGATGGAGACGACGATGAAGAAGAAAGGGCGAGGGAAGGCGACAATAACATCACAGAAAGAAGAAGAAGGAACAGTGAGGAAAGGGCCTTGGACTATGGAAGAAGACTTCATCCTCTTTAATTACATCCTTAATCATGGTGAAGGTCTTTGGAACTCTGTCGCCAAAGCCTCTGGTATTCTTTTTGCACATTAATTCAAATCACACACTCAACGTGTTATGTTATACATATATATATAATTTTGCTTTCATATCATAAGGTTTAAAACGTACCGGAAAAAGTTGTCGGCTCCGGTGGCTGAACTATCTCCGACCAGATGTGAGGCGAGGGAACATAACCGCTGAAGAACAGCTTTTGATCATTCAGCTTCATGCTAAGCTTGGAAACAGGTCTTACATAGTTTCATTAGTACATGCATACGTTAATTGAATTAGAAAACTAATTTATGTTGTTAAATAATATTATGTATTAGGTGGTCGAAGATTGCAAAGCATCTTCCGGGAAGAACGGACAACGAGATAAAGAACTTCTGGAGGACAAAGATTCAGAGACACATGAAAGTCATGTCATCGGAACATATGATTTGTTCGGGAAACTCACAGAGCTCGGGGATGACGACGACGGACCAAGGCAGCTCAGGGAAAGCCATAGACATGGCTGAGAGCTTCTCTCAGGCGAAGACGACGTTTAATGTGGTGGAACAGTCAAACGAGAATTACTGGAACGTTGAAGATCTGTGGCCTGTCCACTTGCTTAATGGTGACCACCATGTGATTTAAGATATATAGTCCTATACATTTATATGCCCAGCTGAATTTTTGTGTATGGTACGTTATTTAATTTGGTGTTCTATTGCTGAAATGTGGTTGCATTTAATTTACATATGATAAAGTGCATGTTATCGTTAAATCTTCAAAACATATGGAGGTGGTGTGTGAATTACTTCTGTTCTTTAAAGCATATATATAGCAGTTGATTCAGTTTGAAAACCAATTCCAAAAAGAAGCAGATTGCACACACATAGACAGATAGATAGATACAAATATATATATAGGGGTGTGAATTAGGATTTTGTACACACAAAAGCAATCTCTCTCTGTATAAATCAAACAAGGAAGGGGCATAGCTGTTGTTGCTTAGTCATCAGCTGCATCACTGGGAGTTTCATCGGCATTGCGTTTGATGGTCATAACTGGACACTCGGCATATTTCACACAGAACGCGCTCACAGTCCCCACAAAGACCCTGCAATGCAGTAGAACGAAGGGGAACAAACCCATGTTATAACAAAACACATCACGTTTCAAACAACAGCGCTAATAGTAGTCTATGATTTCAAGCTATGCCTGGCTCAATGCTTTTATAGCTTATAATGACAATTCCCTTGTTTGGCCCTGTTCCTGTCGAGTCTTGAACTAATCTATTCAAACCCAAACTTCTGTCTATCTAGCTGTAATCCTTTATAACAGTCTATTTATTCATCATTCAGTCTAATAACTAGTTGATGATATATAGAGGTAAAGTAATAATTAAAAAGTCATGTAGGAGTTTTTAAGTATTTTACGCACTTTTGAAACCGGCCAAGTCCACGACTTCCCACGACCAGATAATCTGGTCGAACTCGTTTCACTTCTTGGCATATGACATCCTTGGGATCACCTATCTTAATCCAGGCCTCACAACCCACCTACAAGTTTTGCACAGCTAGAGTTTATCACAAGATTACAGTAGTTGTTTTATGAGATACAGAAAGAAGAAGTTAATAGAGACAGAGGAGGATAAGCTGATGAGCTAAAAAAAAGAGTGTGATTTACCCCAATCTCATGACATTTATTAACGAAAAACTCGAGAAGGTGAAGACCTTTTGCCTTGTTAGATTCTCTCATGTCTCGGAAATCATCAGGGGAAGCATAAATACTGTCTACATCATCAAACCCTGTTTTTTTTTTTGCAATTCACAAACAAATCAAGCTAAAACACCACAAATATAAACATAGCAAAAAAACAGAACAAAACTAGTAGGATGAAAGAACCCTCTCTTCTAACATATTATCTCTCACCAACAAAGACAAACAAAAATTGGTCAATTAAGACATGAGGAATATAGACTACAGCATACAAACAAGATTGCTCTAAAAGACGACTAATACAAGCCAACACATACCCTTAAAACGTAAATACAGCAAAATTGCAACACAAAGAGAAACAAAAAAAGCTTGTCCAAACCCCCAGAAAGAGGTCATCTCAACCGACCAATCTAAGATCATGATTTCCCACAGAGATGCATATTCAAGGATAAGGAGAGAGAAGAACCGTCTTCGTCGACGACTTGAACGTGGAGCAAGAGAATCTTGAAATCGGAAGTGTTGGACCTGACGATCTTCTCCAGAGTCCATTCGAATGCTCTTTTGCAGCTAATCGAAGGGTGAGGATAGTCTTTGATCGTCGAAGCGTTCACCGCCACCATCACTTTAGTCGGCTCGCTCCCCATTTTTTCACCAAATCGTCTGATGAAATCGCTCTTTGGGAAAACAATGATCGATCTGCTCAAGATGGGGGAAGACAAGAACTCTTTCGCACACGACGTGTACATGCGTATTTTAGCACAATAATCTCATACGCATACTAAAATGCGCAGGTTTTTTTTTTCTATTTCGGGACAGCTACGCGGCCTACAAGTTCTATAGTCAAATTCCTAAACTACCCTTTATGTGAATCTTCTGCAAGCCCTTTAATAAGGGCCCAAATGCATAGCCCAATCTTAGATGCTGCACTAAAGATAAAAAGAATTTCACAAAACATATACTATTTAGCTTCGGAAAAATTATGCGCCTAATAATTATAAGTATCTATTATTATCACTGATGAATTCCTGTGAAGGAGACTCTACCAAAGCCAAGATGTCCAATCTGATACAACTCCAACCAAACTCTCTCTGCTTCCACTCTCGCACTTATTCTCGTCTCTTCCTCTCCTTTTAACGACGCCGTTTTCTCTTCCTCTTTTGTCAAACTCCCATCTCTTTCCACCACAAACCGGTGGTCATCGAACTCCCCATCCCCGCCGCCGCAACATCCACCGCTCGCCATCTCGGCCGACCTCCGGTGCTGGTGGTGGTGATGAAAACGATCCTCACGGTTGATTTTCTTCCTTCGCTTCTTACTCCGGCCACCACGGCCGATACATTTCCGGCCTATCATCCACGGGACCTTCACAAAGGCGAGAGTAAAGAGGTTCACGACGGCGCAGGGACAACAACAGAGCGCCACGCAGTCAGCGATCGCCGCCGCCGCCCAAGACCGGCACCTTTTCCCGGAGCATCTGGCTCTTGGCTCTTCATCGGCTCCTTGACTCCAGTGGGATCCACTCTGGTCTTTACGTGAAACTCGATGCGGCTTTTGGTTTTCCTTCTCCATTTTTTAAATTTATAAACCTGCCAAAGAAAAGAGAAAGAAAACAAAGCTTACTAACTTCTTATATATATATACATCACACTCCTATCTGTGACCATATGCATTCACATATACAGGCTTTTGTCCATATATATGTAACATGTCGATGGTAAAAAGAGAGATATATCATATATATAGGAAACAGCAACCAAGATTTTTCCCATGCACTTTAACTTATTGACCAGACAGTTTCAGGTGCATTCAAACCCCACTCACGCTCCCACTTTGGCGCGTGTTAACCACATACGCTGACTCAGATTTTTCGAATTTTTTTTGTCCTAGTGCTTTTTATGTCCAATGTTACGATTTTGTTTATTTCAATTTTCAAATTGAGATTGGGTTTGGTCAGGTGGCGAATGAGAGGAGTTGAACGAGCGCGTGGGAGATGAATCTGAATCTTTTTTGTTGGCTAGGGGAAATAATTTTTTTTTTTTAGTGGAGTATAAAGAGGTGTTACTCCAGGGATGAGTTTTACATTTTATTTTATTTTTGGCTCTTTATGGTAAGAATCTTATGGTACCGTACCTTTTTCTTTTACATAGTCCCTCCTATAGCTAGCTTTTTGTCAAAACTTTGCTCTGGTTTGGAGCCTATAACTTTAAGGCTAAAAGAAAACTTGCAATAAATTATTTAAAAAAAAAAAAACTTGCAATAAATTAAAAGACGGTCTTATTGTTAAAATAATTAGAAATCATATCAGTGAGATAACGTGGACTATAGCATGGCCCAACTACGTGGCCCATTACAAAGTTACAACTAATTACAATGCAAAATAAAAAAAATATTCTTTAAAAAATATATTATTTTATTAATGTGACAAAAGAACAAGGTCTATAATTAGTTGACAAAAAAAAAAGAAAAAAGGTCTATAATAATAATCTAGTAGGATCCCCTATGATTTTTAAACGACTAGATTTGTAAAGATTTTTCTTTTATTTGTCAAACATTGTAATGATTTATGTGACAGCATTTAACAAGAAAAATAAGTATTTTGAAAATACAGAACGATTTATCTTTCGATATGTTACCAAAAAAAAAAAATTAAGGCTAAAAGTACGATTGTCCCTTTTTCACTTGTATAAGGTAAATGTACACATGAAAGCCTAGTCAACATTCAAATTTTAATAGGCCTTGTACAATTAATGAGACTGACGTATATAGTACGAAGCCAATACATTTAGTATGTATATAGATTGTCATTTTCTTTCCGTCATTTTGTTTTGTCGAAGGAGAACTTGATGCAATAATCAACATTGACCACTATATATATACACCGGACAAACTTAAGATAGTGCACACTCTATATAGATATTCAGTGTAGTCTATATAAAGAAAAAAATACATACTGCCCTTTTGATTTATGGTGAGACACTCTTATGCATAGTTAGATGAAATTAACAGTGTTTAACTAGGTGTATTATATAACAAAACATGTAATATGTAAGTTTGGACCCCATAATTTTATTATATCTTACTTCTTATAAATGTATTTTGTACAAACTACTAACTAGATTGATATTGTACAACTACTAACTAGATTGATATAAAAAAAAATCTTATTTTTGGCAAGTTCAAAAAATTTCATCCATTTAGCAATTAAATACGAAAAGGATTTAATCGAGACAACAAACAATGGAGAATGATCAAATGGTTACATACCTTTGTTTCTTGTCGCGTAATTAACCTACTCAAGCCACAGATCCTGTTTGAAACCCTTCTCTGCATAAAGAGAACAACAACAAAAACCCAGATTTGTTATTGTGGTCTATAGTAAAAGTTTCTGTTTTAATTGTTGTTCTAATGAGTTTGAGAAGAGAAAGAGAAGAAGAAGAAGAAGCTCATAATAACCAAAAAGATCAAGAAAGAAGAAGAAGAAGAAGGATGTGATCTGATCTATAAATAATACACATCATATTATATCTTCGATTAATTAGAGCTTCTCTTTTTCTATGTTTATCTTTTGAAAATCATTTCTCTCTCTCTCTATCCTGGTCTCATTAGTAGTATACACTATACAGACTCATATGTATAATGGTCTGACATGAATATTTTAATCCAGCTAGAGCAGCTACAGAAGCTCTCTTAAAGCATCAATATTCTACACATATGAACATATATCTATATATCATGTGAATATAGTAGATAATATTGTCCGAATGATATATTATATATCATTTATATTTTAATAAATGATAACATATTATCATTTTCACACAAAAAATATATTATCATTTAATTTCTTAGCTAAATTATTATTTGTAAAAGCTAATTGCATTTTTTAACTATTACTAACAAGTAGTAGTAATTTTATGAAATTTATAGTTGCAATTTCTTAAACAAATCGGATAAAATTCCTCAAGTGGGTACCAGTTAAAACAATACAATTATATAGTACTCCCTCTGTTTCAGAATATAGGATGTTTTAGAGTTTTTATTTTGTTTCAAAATATATGATGTTTTGCAACTTTTTATGCAGTTTTAAATGTATTAAAAAATTCATTGGCCGAAACATTAAAACAGTAGAGATAAAACTGGAATTTTCACAAAACATTTGCATCGAAAACCTAAAACGACAACTATTATGAAACAAAATTTTAACTCTAAAACGACAAGTAAAACGAAACGGAAGGAGTAGTAATTAGTTGGAAACGGGTTTACAGGAAATATCGGGACTTTGTGTTTGATGAGTCCCGGAGACAGAGAGAATCAATTTATGGGAACTCGGCCCCTGATCATGTGCATTCCTATGCAATTCGTTCTTTATTCTTTTTTTTTCTTTCTATTTAACAATTGATAAACGAACTAAAATACCCTCTTTAGAACAATTTACAATTTATATTAACATGACACTCCAAAATTTTGTATAAATATACATTCCTTTTATATCCGTGGTTCCATATCTTCAGGGCCGGCGCAGAGGACAAGCTACTGAAGCCATCGATTTGGGCCTCAAAACTTGAGGGCCTTTTTATCTAAAAATTTGTTAAGTTTTTTTATAAACAATAATTTTTGTAGGGTCTTTTAAAAATATTGTGGGCGTTTAGAGACAACTACAATATTCTTTTTAATGGTAAAAATCTAATTTAAAATATTTTTTTTATGGGGTTTAATTTTGCTTAGGGCACTCAAATTTACCGGGCCGGTACTGCATATCTTATATGTTTTCTTTTTATATATATATATATATATATATATATATGTTTACCTTTAATACGTTGTTTCGATGATGAAATACTCTCTTTTGATTAGTCTCATAGTAAAAATAGAAGTTTGTGAGCCACTTGGATGTTTTTATATGTAGAATGATCATATATGTCAACGAAACTAGCAGGAGTATTTAGGAGTTCTAAAAATTTAATATGGTAGTATCAGCCCCGGCTCAGATGGGTAGGGCGGAAGTGCGACGGCCCGGGGCTTTTTTTTTTATAAAAAAATTTACGTATAAAAAAGGCCCAAATATTTTTTAAAAATATTATTAATATGAAAATTATATTTTAAGAGGCCTAATTATTTATAAGAAAATGTATAAAAAGGCCCAAAATTTTTAAAATAACAATTTTTACTATAAAAACTCCGCAAAATTTTAAAAAATTAAGTAAATTTTCTCTTTGTATATAATAATAGGCCAAAAAAAATTTTTTTGCCCTAAGGCTCTCAAATATATTGAGCCGGGGCTGGGTAGTATTTTAGTATTTGCGCATAACTTTACGTAGACTAAGTAAAAGTTTGGAAAATTAATTGTTATATTACTATATTTGTCGTGGTTTTCAAAATCTATAATAAGCAGCGGCGTTGACGCCTTTTTTTCTCTTTGCTGCCTTTAGAAGCAGCAGCACTTTGCTTGAGCCCATGCACGTGCGATGCTGCGAAGAATCACGTGCGCCGGACTCAAAGGCCGCCACGTCGACAACTGAGATGCTCCTCTTTAATTATTTAGGTAACAAAGTTTTCACCGTCCAACTGTCTGTATGTCAGTGACACGTACGCACACACCCAACCCCAACGGTCTTCTAACAAACAACAAGACTAGCGATCTGCTGCGTTTGCGTCACTGACCGCAGTAACATACATATATCTTCTTCTTCCGTTCTCCTTTTGTTGTTGACTAGAAATTCAAAGTCAAAGGCGTTAGCACTTAGCTGTTCGTGTGTTGTGGACCACATTTGGAAAATCCCTAATATAATAATTTTATTAATCACGGACATATGTATAATGCAACTAGCCGATCTTTGTCAAATTAGTGGCTTGATATGTGCGAGACTAATATGTTCATATTCATAACTCCATATCTACGCGTTTCACGGACTCCATAATGAATATTCTTCTTAATTATATGCATTGGGGTTGACTAATCAGAAAGCATTTGACAAAATAAAATGATCCGAAAGCATATATAGAACTAGAAGAAACCAAATAAGTTGGTTTATCGAATACTTCTTCAATTCATCCTTTAGATTTGAACTTAAACTATACTTTCCTACTAAATTCTCATATATAGTTCGATTATTATTTTCAGTCTAAACAATATCACTTATTGATTAATCTAATGATTTATTCGATAACTAGCCAACTAGGTATGTGGTAATTAATTTGGTAAACATTTTCATTTACCATAAAAAATAATCATTGTCATTATTAAATCACACACAAGAAAATTGATATTTGATAACACTAAACATCCCGATTTCTGTGCTCCTTTTTTCTGTTGGTTCTTCTTTTAAACTCCAACAGCTTAAAGAAAATGGAAATGTCAAAAAACTTGCAGCTCAAGTGAAATAGCCTTCTCCACAACATTTGGCGGCAGTGAAATAACCTCCTCCACAACTCACAGCGTTTGGCTCATCGTCTTATTTTCAAGTTCGTCGATCGTGAGCTCCGTAACATCATCACCTCAAGAAGGTTTAGGAAGCGGTGGCGAAAGCTAATGTTTCTTTAATTTGAATCCGATATAATTTTCCCAAATCTTTCTTAACTCTATTTTGGCTTTGTTTTTTTTGTTTGTTTGCCAAAGTTAGTCTTGTGTAATGATGTTTACAAATTTAACAAAAAAAAATGGAAATGTCGATCTTAATTAGTAGTAAACAGAAACTTAGAATAAGCTTTAGGAGAAGGTCGGCCCTGAGTTTGGGAAGTTTGGGCTTGGTGAGGCTACAAATAGTCTATTTATGTCTTTGGGAGCCACATATATAGCAAAAAAGAATCAATAATAATATTCAGACTCGATTTGAAAACATTAATTAAACTCTATTAAAAAAGTGACTATGGTTTAAGCTGCCAACTCATTGCTCCACATGAAATTGAGAAATGTAACATGGAGAACGATCTTTATATAATATTTATTGATAATTAAAAGAAGCAAACTTTGGATTATTCTTCGAAGAATATGACAGATTACAATTCCAACAGCAATGTATAATTTATATTGCCAATATGGACTTGAATGTTGCTATTCGTTTGGGAAATGGATATTGGCATGTGGTGCAATTATTTGAATCATGCTTGTAATTTTTATGCCTAATTTAATCTAATAAGAATGTTTGGCCTTGAGTCATTGTCATGGAGATTTTAGTGCCGACGGTCCATAAAAGAATATGTATATTGCAAAGTTGTTATAGCCGGGTTCGGAAAAGTCATTTATAAATTCGCTAGAAGTTCAGTTTGTTACGTTTGATCCAATTACGCTTTTGTTTTTCTTTTTAAAAGGATAACAACTATTGGACTCCTAGTGAAACTGAAACATATTATAATTATTTCTTGTAGCTATTTGACTAATCATTTGCTGCAGTTTAGTAACTGCTTATAAACTTGGAAATTATTAAGCAAAAAGCAGTTAAAATAGTTGTAAAAGTCGCAGAATATGATCAATATGTTTTATTTGAATATATGAATAAATCACGAGTTCACACAATTATTTAAAGAATTACAGAATCGCAAAATGATTGTCAAATCTGATATATATCACGTCTAACATATTTGGTAGGTTGATAACAATGGAACCATAATTTAGGTAACCCCCAAATCGTCAGCATTGACGTCTATAATTTCAATATTCTCATAAACAAATACCACGAAAGAGACCACGTACATTTTATCGCCTAGTATTGACGAACAAGGTAAACCAAACCACTCTCACATGTTACATGTATAGATAGATACACACCCACACAATGACACAAATATATATACACACAGACAGAGAGACACGATTTGTTAAAACAGACGTAGAAGAAACAAGGCTAAATTGGTGGAGAGAGAGAGACGACAAAATGCAGGATTTGTCCTCAACGGTATCTTATAGCCCAAGCTTCAGTTACTACGCTTCCGGTGAATTCGCCGCCGCTGCAGTTAAAGTTTCCCGCGAAAACCAAAGTTTCAATATGACAGATCATCAATCCGTTAAAGTTGACTCTTTCAATGACGAAGACGCTGACTTCGAGTTTGAAACGTCGCCGTTACATGAAGAAACCTTCGTCCCATTCCCGACGTTCAAAACCGACGTCGTTTCTATCATCAACAAGAAAGACAAAGAAACTGCCCCTGAAAATATATCGGACCGTTTCTCCGGAAATTGTCTATGGAGTCCACTCAGATCTCCGGCTGCGTCAAAACACTCGGAATCGTCCACGAGCACACCGAAACAGTGCCGTTTGAAGAAATTTCTAACGAGAAGTCATAGCGACGGTGGCGTGTTGGCCCCAAGCGCATCGAAACGGTGCTATATTTTTAAGGATCTTATGCGGAGGAGCCACAGCGACGGCGGCAGCGACGTAAGTAAGACGAGCTCGCCGGCCGTGAAAGTAAAGGACAAAACGGTGCCGTATAAGGTCGGGGAAGGAGATAAGAGAAGAAAATCTTATTTGCCTTACCGGCAAGATTTGATCGGAGTTTTCGCCGTGGTTCGAGGATTACGTCGTTAATCGAAATTTAATTAATTTTTATAGTTTAACACAACTTGAACTTATTAAGTATACTATTATAGCAATAAGGTACTTCTTTAATTCTTGTATTTATAAATATTTCCATGTAACTTTTGTTTAGTGATATTGAAGTCCAATTCTTTTTTTTTTTTTTTCTGAAAACTTTATTAGCTTTCATAATCATGTAGTCCAATTCAATGCGTTTACTCATTGAGCGTTAGATATTTTTTATTTCCATTTTTTTTTTTGTTTTCGCACTGAAAGGAAAAGACACGTGTCATGTATTGATAAAAAGGAAACTAGATACTTCCACGAGAAAGCGGGTCCCACGTGAAGACACGTGGACCACTAGTTTCTTTCTTACCTTCCTCTGCCGCCTCGTTTTCTGCTCACAGTTCCAACTTCTTCCATACACACACATTCACATTCTCAGAAAAAATCTCTATTGGATCGGTTTATGGCGTTTCTTCAACAAATCTCCGGTTTAGGAGCTCTCGAACGATCTTCTCCGTCAATTTTGATCGGATCTTCATTCCGGAGCGGTAATGGCCGTGTATTCGACGGAAGAGGAATTGCGTACTTGGGTTCCAGGGAAAAAGTCGGATTCAACAGACGAAGCAGACTCGTTCTTAGAGTTGTTGCGATGTCTTCTTCTTCATCTCCGTTCAAAATGAATTTGAATGAGTATATGGTCACTCTTGAGAAACCTCTCGGGATTCGCTTCGCACTTTCAGCAGATGGCAAGATCTTCGTCCACGCCATCAAAAAAGGGGTACTGTACGATCCTTTTTGTGCCTGAGAATGTCATGTGGAAGTAGTAATCTCAAAATTTTCTTAAAAATGAAAACTTTTTTTGTAGAGCAATGCGGAGAAGGCGAGAATCATCATGGTAGGAGATACACTCAAGAAGGCTAGCGATTCTTCTGGTGGTAGTCTTGTGGAAATCAAGGATTTTGGTGACACCGAGTAAGAATTTTTAAGGCCTGTGGTTTTGAATTTACTAAATTGTACGGTAGTAGGCTTTTATGTACCTCGTTGGTGTTGTTAACTAGTTAACATGGGAAGATTTAGCTTTGAATATCAGTGTTTTCGATTGAATATTTCTGTGCTGTGCTGTGAGTTGAATGCTGACTCTATTGTTATGTGTTTGAATTTTTCTTTTTTATTTCGTCCAGTTTTTGATTTATTCAGGAAGATGCGGGTAGAGAAAACAGGATCCTTTAGCCTTGTTCTTGAAAGACCATTCTCTCCCTTTCCAATTCAGTATCTGCTTCATTTGAGCGACCTTGATATGCTCTATAACAGAGGACGTGTCTCCTTTGTTACTTGGAACAGAAACCTCTTATCATCGAACCTCAGAGCATCTCAAGGCAGTGGGAACTCTGGCTATGCTGCATTTTCCTCCAAATTCTTTACTTCTCAGGGATGGAAACTTTTGACTAGACACAGCAATTCCTTTCAGTCAGGGACACAGAAGAACATTCTTTCTCCACCTATCAGTCCACTGGTCTCTGTCTTTTCAGAAGAAGTTCCTGGAGATGGTGAATGGGGTTATGGGAATTTCCCTTTAGAGGAATACATCAAAGCCCTTGACCGATCAAAAGGAGAGCTTTCCTATAACCATGCTCTTGGAATGCGCTACAGTAAGGTCTGAAATTCGTTTTTTCCTTTCCCGATTAGTCTCTCTTTCTGTTCATTCTCTCAACACTATTCTTCTCTTGTTGGCCTCTTTCAGATTACAGAGCAAATATATGTTGGCTCTTGCATACAAACAGAAGAGGATGTGGAAAATTTGTCAGAAGCAGTGAGTCTTTTATATGACCTATAGTAAAGATATTTATTATCTATGGTATGCAATGATAGATTTGAAAGTATGGTTTTAACTGGCCATACTTTTATACTACAGGGAATTACTGCCATACTGAATTTCCAAGGTGGAACTGAAGCTCAGAACTGGGGAATCAATTCACAAAAAATCAATGATGCATGCCAGAAATCTGAAGTCTTAATGATCAACTACCCTATAAAGTATGCAAAGTCATATCGCCTTCAGGCAAATCATGTGCTTTCATGCTTTCTTTTCCTAGCTCTCTAACCAGTTTTTATATTTTGGTGCCAGGGATGCAGATTCCTTTGATCTTAGGAAGAAACTACCACTTTGTGTTGGGCTCTTACTGCGGTTGCTTAAAAAGAACCATCGTGTCTTTGTAACTTGTACCACTGGTTTTGACCGGTCATCGGCTTGTGTGATTGCTTATCTGCACTGGATGACTGATACCTCTCTTCATGCTGCTTATAGTTTCGTTACTGGATTGCACGCTTGCAAACCTGACAGGTTTTTATCCATCTCATCTCTGTCTTGACCATTAAGCTTTTTATGTTTTAATGGAAACATCAGTCTATTTATATGTATTTTTCACAGACCTGCAATTGCCTGGGCAACATGGGATCTTATTGCAATGGTGGACGATGGCAAACATGATGGGACTCCAACACACTCTGTAACCTTTGTGTGGAATGGACATGAGGTGACTATTGCTTCACATGCTTTTATTACTTTGCTGCAATTCTTTATGGAACTCGTGATCTGTAGGGTTGAGCAACCAACAGGACCGACCTCTGTGTTTTAAGTTCCACCTTGGTTTGCTCTATTACAGGGGGAGGATGTATTGTTGGTTGGGGATTTCACAGGAAACTGGAAAGAACCGATAAAAGCAACGCACAAAGGCGGTCCACGTTTTGAAACTGAAGTTAGACTTTCACAAGGAAAGTAAGTCATGCTTCGTTTACCTTTCCCATTGATGCTTATACTCAAGGTTTAACAGTAAAACGTCTCATGATCTTCCCTGCATGTTAATTGTGACTTTTGAGGGATTGCAAACTACAAAGGTGTTTTAGTTTGGAAACTTGTGAAAATGCATTGACAATGTGTCATATAACTTGGTGATCATTGACAATGTGGCAGATACTACTACAAGTACATAATCAACGGGGATTGGAGGCATTCAACAACCTCACCAACGGAAAGGGATGACCGAGGAAACACGAACAATATAATTGTAGTTGGTGATGTTGCTAACGTCAAGCCTACTATTCAACAGCCAAGAAAGGTTACTCCTACTATGCAGTAATCTCTTCTTCATACAATAGGAAAAGCTTGGATAAGTGTTTACCTGATTGGGTCACGACATATACCTGAAGCAACTTTTACAATGTTATGCAGGATGCAAATATCATAAAGGTGATCGAGAGAGTGTTAACAGAGAGCGAAAGATTTAGGCTGGCGAAAGCAGCTCGGTGTATCGCATTCTCAGTTTGTCCAATAAGACTATGCCCAAAGTCGTAGAAGTTTTTTATTGGCATAAGTTAAATGTTACATCCACTCTTCTGTCTCTATCCATTCCTCAAGGTACTTACTCCTAATACCGTTGTGAACAACATTGCCTATGTTCATTTTTTACCCCAAATGAATAAATAAAAGCCACATTCGATGCACTCTATGACAAGAGAATGTTGACATTATGTTGTGTGCTTGCATGAAAATGTCGACATAGTTTCGCCATTACTCACTTTACATATAAGTCCCAAAACCAACCCTAATGCATTGCTTCATTGCTTGTCTTTGTGTTTCTTCTTCAATTTCTCTCTTTCCTAACATGTTGAAGGAAATAGAAACTCTGTTATCTAATTTCGCATATATGATTTATGGTCATGGAAGGTCAGAGAGAAGAGAAGTGTCGAGAGAGAGAACTCTTCTTCTCTCTTTTAAGTTCATCTTCGTTTCATGCTAAGAGTTTTCACTGAGTTTGTTGCTCCGTAGAGTAGAACAGTCCATGATCGATGTTAATCCTTGCTTCTTCTATATTGTGTATACAATAGCAATCCTGGTCTATGGAGGGGTTTGAGAAGTATGGCTCTTTCATATGCACCACAAACAAAGGCCTAACATCTAAAGTGGGTGGTGCTTATTTAATTAAGATGAGAGCCTGAGAGGGTAAGTGAAAGAGGCTGATCCTTGTTTTAATGATAAGGGACCTTATCCTCTAAACCTTTTGAGACCTTTTATTTTCTAAACATGAAAATAAAATTTGAAAGAAGAAGAGCACGTAAAAGTTTTAAAATCTTGAGCTAATATTCCTCATCCACAAGAAAAGAAGAAAGTTTCTTATTCACCGCAGCTATCGCTTTCGTTATCCTCGTTCCCATAACCTCACCATGACCATGAGACTCCATTCTTTTAAACTCCCAAATCTTTCAACCAATCCCATAATTCACTTAAGTATATAGTAGCTTCCACAAGAGATCTTAGTTATAACTATAAATACACTTATCTCACTCTCACTGATCTCCACTTCTCTTCACAAGCAAATGTCGACCGCTCCTCTCTCCGGCTTCTTCCTCACTTCCCTTTCTCCTTCTCAATCTTCTCTCCAGAAACTCTCTCTTCGTACTTCTTCCACCGTCGCTTGCCTCCCCTCCTCCTCTTCCTCTTCCTCATCCTCCTCCTCGTCTTCCCGTTCCGTTCCAACCCTTATCCGTAACGAGCCAGTTTTTGCCGCTCCTGCTCCTATCATTGCCCCTTATTGGGTATACGTTTTTACATTCATCTCTGCTTCTTAACCTACATTATTTCTTACATCGTTACATTGTTGTCTACGTATAATAGGGGTACATTACATAGATAGTAAACTAAATAAAGTTCACTTTCCTTTTGACGTTTTACTTTATAAGTTGTTTTCTCATCAATTATTAACCCGCTGAATTACAGAATATTTAGAATTTTAAATTACGTATGTCACGATTATACGAAACTATTATTTAGATTCTGCAACTACCATTTTAGTGATAGGAAAACAAAATCTGCTAGCTTACGAAACTTCCACAAATCTTGGAAACAATCACGTGTGTTTCACATTTCAGTTTTTTTTTTTGTTTTCCTTGGCATTTCCTTATAGTATCCTTACTATTATTATCCGTGTTTTACTTTTGGTCTTTAGCTGCGTGGTACTGAAAGAATTACCCAAATTAACAAGACTCAAATTAAAGTAGCTTAATTAGTGAATCACAAGGGAATAGTTCATGTTCAGCTTCCAAATGCTATTAGCGATTCGAACTTCACACTATGTCCTTCTAGTGTAATATATGAAGTGAAAAATTTATTCCTCAAACTACTTGCTTCGACATTTAATGATGTTAAAAACAAATAACCTCCAAATATTAAAAGCGTTGTTGCATCTCTACTCAAAATCCGACATTTTAAAATTTTGGGAGTTAGAACGACGTAGGATCCACGTGATAAAAGAAAAGGATTTACTAGTAGATTCATGAAACTGAGACGTGCATATACGATATGAGAGCGTGTGGAGCATAATGGTGACTAAGTCGCCATCTATATTTATTCATTCAACCTACCGATTTGGCTCCTAACCACATCACCGATCTTCCACCCCAAAAATAAAATCATAATATAAAAGACAATAAAATTGTGTACTTTATCGTATAATGAAGTTCTGAACAGGTTGATTGTAGTTTCAACATTTAAAACACGTCATGACCCGCTCTCTACTTAATTACGTTCCCGACAATAAAATATACTACTGCTGAATTTTCTTTGGTCAACCAACTTGTAGAGTGAAGAGATGGGAAGCGACGCATACGAAGAGGCTATTGAAGCTCTCAAGAAGCTTCTCATGTAAGTATACACATCTTTTCTATTCGCATACATTAATATATGATAGATTAAGAAAAGCTAAAACATTATTATAAATTAGTAATGGGGTTTGTCATTTGTCAATACTACTTAATTCATGATTTTGTGATTAACCATGAAATGTGTATAAACACGGCAGCGAGAAGGAAGAGCTAAAGACGGTTGCAGCGGCAAAGGTGGAGCAGATCACTGCGGCGCTTCAGACAGGTACTTCGTCCGACAAGAAAGCTTTCGACCCCGTTGAAAACATTAAGCAGGGCTTCATCAAATTCAAGAAGGAGAAATACGAGTAATATTTCTATTTTTATTTGTTTGTTCTTAATTTCGTCACCAACTTAATTTGTCTAGATTAATTAACTAGTTCATTTTTTTTTTTTTTTTGGTCAAAAAACTAGTTCATATTAATACTTTGATTTGCAGAACCAACCCTGCTTTGTACGGTGAGCTCGCAAAGGGTCAAAGTCCTAAGGTATATTAAATAGAAACTTTTTAATAAACTAATAGTATGTATATATCATGGTTACTTATAAATTAAACATTAATTAAGAAAATAATTAAAAAAGGTGTGTGAATGGTGGTGCAGTACATGGTGTTTGCGTGTTCGGACTCACGTGTGTGTCCATCACACGTTCTGGACTTTCAGCCAGGAGATGCCTTCGTGGTCCGTAACATAGCCAACATGGTTCCTCCTTTCGACAAGGTTAATAAAATTAACACTTACTTCTGTCGCTCTATGAATATAAACTCTTCTATCTTAAACCTTATGCCTCTTGACTTTTGTCTTGAGAAGTCGTGACATTTGGGGTGCTAAATTTGCAGGTCAAATACGGTGGCGTTGGAGCAGCCATTGAATACGCGGTCTTGCACCTTAAGGTGAAACATTCTTTTGCGTCTTTGTGGTTACTTTAAATGGGTCTGGCCATAAAGGCTGTACTATATAGGCCCAATTGGGTCTACCATCGTAAGAATATAAAATTAAGTATTAACACCTTAACCAAAAAAAAAAAAAACTTGAATTTGTTAAGTTTTTGTGCCAAAAAATAAACATAGTCCTGAGAAAATAGAGAGAAAGTTGAAAATACTAAATTGTAAATTAACAAGTGTTAATTTGATAAGTAATATTATTAAAGTACATGTTTATTAATGTAGGTGGAGAACATTGTGGTGATAGGACACAGTGCATGTGGTGGGATCAAAGGGCTTATGTCTTTCCCCTTAGATGGAAACAACTCCACGTATAATATCTCTACATCCATTATATTTAAATTTAACATCAATTTTAATAACAAAATTTATCAAATGAGATTATTTTAAAAATATTATGTTAATTGCAGAGACTTCATAGAGGACTGGGTCAAAATCTGTTTACCAGCCAAGTCAAAGGTTATATCAGAACTTGGAGATTCAGCCTTTGAAGATCAATGTGGCCGATGTGAAAGGGTACGCAAACACATGTTCATTCATATCTTCAATCTATAGTTGGATAGATGAGCTGATATATAACAATATAAATGTATTAATTAATGCAGGAGGCAGTGAATGTTTCACTAGCAAACCTATTGACATATCCATTTGTGAGAGAAGGACTTGTGAAGGGAACACTTGCTTTGAAGGGAGGCTACTATGACTTCATTAAGGGTGCTTTTGAGCTTTGGGGACTTGAATTTGGCCTCTCCGAAACTAGCTCTGTATGAACCAATCCATCATCATCATCATGACCATCCATCATCATCATTATTATCATATATATATATATATATATATATATATATATATATATATATCTACTCCATATGTAATTTGTAATGTGCCTTTGATTGTGATGAGTTATCTCTCCCTCTTCCTCTCTACCAACTTTCTTCATATATATATAAAAATAAAAAAATAAAAAGGAAACGCAGAGGATATAGATCTTTCGTGGTTTAATTATGAACAATTGTGTTTATTATAATGTGTATCAAATCGCTTGTATTTATGGTTTGATTTTATTTTCTATGTTGTTTGGTAGGTGAAAGATGTGGCTACCATACTACATTGGAAGCTGTAGGAACTCTTTGAAGCCTTACCCGATTTCACATTTTCAATTCAATAACACCAAGTTATTATTTTCATGTAGATCTTGATGAAAGTGGTTTTTGATTTTACAGAATTAAAACCTTGGGGGACAAAAATTAGAATGAAAACTAGTAAAAAAATTTTAAAAAATCATTGAATCGTAAAAAAGGTCATCTTCAAAAAGTCTCTTGATAGACAGATTTCTGACAATTTTACTGCCACGTGGTGAATGGTTGAGAAGTTATGGGATCACTCAAAGCCGAACATCAACTTCAAAAGGTGAAGGTGTGAGAAACGGTGTCTGTTTGGACTAGCGTGGGTTTACACCTTCAGGACTTTAATGTGTCTCTCGGAGTCAGAGGGCGGTATTGATAAGATCGGAGTTGGGCCTAGGATGGGCCAAAGCTATTAACTAACGTTTAAGCCTTTAATGTTTATAAGCTAAAATCATCGTTGTAAAGGATTATGAAAGAAATCAACAATTTATCAATCTCTCTTTATCCTCTCTAATATTCTCTTCCCTTTCCTCAATTCTACATCTCCAATCTCTATTTCTTCTACTTGTCTCCTCATTTCTATTTCTTCCTTTATAGACCAAATCTGGGTCTGTATTAGTTATATACTTATATTATCCGACTACACCTTTCGGGCCTATGCCCAATTATTTTATTCAATCTATGTTACGAAAATATTATTAACTGAATTTTCTTATTGCGGTATTCATATTTGGCAATTGGCATGGAAAATGATGTTAGTACACTTTGGTTTCTGGTCCAATAATTTGATTTTGACCATCATATAACTTAAACTAGCATAGCTAGATTATAATTTAATTTGAGGTTCTTACATATATGCAAATATAGTAAACTGATATTTGAAGAATATGTCATATCTAGTATAGAATTAACCCAAAATAAATCAAAAAAAATCATAATAAATTAATATGGTAAGTTAGATATCAAATATAGTAAACTGATATTTAACGAACTAGTATAGAATTAATCCAAAATAAATTAACTAGAATGAAGAAAAAAATTATGCTGAAAATGACACATTAAACCCACAAAACGAAAAGGCTAGAGCTTGACGAAAAGGTAGCAAAGTGAGCAGGACTCCCATGATTTCATGAAGACATGAACTATATATATCCACTGATTGATTTAATAAATACATTATATTTGATGTTACATATTTTTATATGAGAATTCTATATGTTTTCAGAATGATAAATTTTATTTTTATATTTATCTTGAACTGATTTTTTTGTCCATATATTTTTGTCAATAGTGCACACGATAATAACATATAACCTTGATGATAACAAATCAAATTTTACAATTTCTATTTTGAAAAGTGGTAGATAATATTAGACTTTAATAATATTAATATACCACTTTTACTTTTTAAGAGAAAAAATACAACAAAAGAAAGAGAAGAGTTCTTAAACTTTTTCATAACAAATCTTGATAAATTGAATTAAAAAATCGGAAAAAAACTACTCCATCCGTTTCATAATATAAGGTATTTTGGATAAAACTTTTTGTTTCATAATATAAGTCATTTTCGAGTTTCAATGCAAATTATATATTACTTTAATATTTTATGATTATTTATATTATGTAATTTTTTTTTTATTGGTTAAAATTTAAAAAAATAGATATTTTTAATTGGCGTGTTTTAATCTAAAATGATTTATTTTATCAAACCGAGGGAGTATTTGATAACAATATATCATATCATTGTTTTGGACTTTTGGGTCCGGATACAAATTATTATCCAAAAGAGAGTTGTGAGAAGTGGAGCCGACACACGTCGACCCCTAGCACCTTAAGGACACCCCATGTGGTCACGTGTAAACGTTTGTTTGTCATAAAAGAAAGTTTTTTTTGAGTATGAAGTATTCCGAGAAGTCTAATCACAGAGAAGAGAGAAGAGAGAAAGAGAGAGTTAGCCTCTTCTTTAGTTGTTTGTTGCAATAAACACAAACACAACTTCCCCATTTTCTGCTTCTTTTTGTTCAACTCCTACACACTCCAATCACACAATCCACAACCCATAGAGGAAACAATAAAATAATCACATCAATCAAACCAAAATAAAAAAAGAAGAAGATGATGAAAACCCCAATTTAGTATAAAGGAAGAAAAAAAAACATTTCGAATAACTTGAAACGGTTTTGATTTTGCAGAAGAAGATGAAGGAGAAGTCGGAGAGTGGCGGAGGAGTAGGATACGTGAGAGCAGATCAGATAGATTTAAAGAGTCTGGACGAGCAACTGCAGAGACACTTAAGCAAAGCATGGACGATGGAGAAGAGGAAGAGTTTGAGTGATGGTGAAGACAACGTCAATAACACCCGACATAACCAGAACAACTTCGGACATCGACAGCTTGTGTTTCAGAGGCCGCTTCTTGGTGGTGGATATAGCAACAACAACAACAACAGCAAGAACGACATAATTAGGTCGACCGAGGTTGGGAGGTCGAGAAGAGAGTGGGAAATTGATCCTTCTAAGCTTATAATCAAAAGTGTGATTGCTAGAGGTACTTTTGGTACGGTTCACCGTGGAATCTACGATGGTCAAGATGTCGCCGGTACAATCTCTATTTCTCTCTCTCGTCATTCATAACTTTTTGTTCTTATTGTAAGAAATATAGTGTTTTAGATAAATATACGTACCCTTTTGGAAAATTACTTAGAGAAGAATTGAAACTTTCTTCCCGGAAAAATAAATAAATAATGGAATTACAGGAAAATATTATTCCTTCCAAAATTTGGGAAATCCTTATGCATGTAAAGTATCCGAGAGACTTATTACGTAATTTTTTCCTTCCAAAATTTGGATCTTCAATTGAACCTTTTTCTTTGGTAACTCATGATTTATGTGTGCAAATATTCTTAAAAAAATTATAAAAAAAAAACAGTGAAGCTACTAGACTGGGGAGAAGAGGGGCACAGGTCAGACGCAGAGATAGCTTCGCTTAGAGCTGCTTTCACTCAAGAAGTTGCTGTTTGGCATAAGCTTGACCATCCCAATGTCACCAAGGTACACTCGTTTAAACCGGTGAACACTTAAACCGAAATCAAATTAAAACTAACCGATTAATCGAAACATAATCAAGTTGTTATAACCAAAATATTCACCCCTAGGGACATGTATAGATAGAGTAGGTATACCGTATACGTCGATGTCTGTTTTTAATACAAATGTTACGTCTTTTCTGAACATTAAATAAAAGATGTCATGTGTTTTTGGTGTATAGTTTATTAATTTTGTTTGGTGGGGAAATATGTTGAAAATAAAAAAAGTTCATAGGAGCGGCGATGGGGACATCGGAGATGAGCATACAAACGGAAAACGGGCAAATGGGGATGCCGAGTAATGTTTGCTGCGTCGTGGTTGAGTATTGCCCCGGCGGCGCTCTCAAGTCTTTCCTCATCAAAACTCGCCGCCGCAAACTCGCTTTCAAAGTTGTTATCCAACTCTCCCTTGATCTTGCTCGCGGGTACATTACATATATATTCGGTTCATCAATTGCTTCCCTTTTAACCCGGTTTACCATTTTATAAATCTTGATTAACTTATATATGTGTTAGGTTAAGTTACTTGCACTCTCAGAAGATTGTGCATAGAGACGTGAAAACAGAGAACATGCTTTTAGACAAGTCACGTACCTTAAAGATTGCAGATTTTGGTGTGGCTCGTCTCGAGGCTTCAAACCCTAACGACATGACCGGTGAGACCGGAACCTTGGGCTACATGGCTCCTGAGGTGTTAAACGGGAGTCCGTACAACAGAAAATGCGATGTGTATAGCTTTGGGATATGCCTGTGGGAGATTTACTGTTGCGACATGCCTTATCCTGACCTCAGCTTCTCCGAAGTCACCTCTGCCGTCGTCCGCCAGGTATTTCAAAATTACCTTTTTACCCTTTTCGTAATTGATTTATGATTACCGGCTACCTAAAAAGACTATATATCTCTATCTATTCTTTTGAATATATAGAATTTGAGACCGGAGATACCTAGATGTTGTCCAAGCTCCCTAGTGAACGTGATGAAGAGGTGTTGGGATGCGAATCCGGAGAAGCGGCCGGAGATGGAGGAAGTGGTGGCGATGTTGGAGGCTATTGATACTTCTAAAGGCGGAGGAATGATTCCTCCTGACCAACAACAAGGCTGTTTCTGTTTCCGACGACACCGAGGCCCATGAAGTACACACTACGTTTCCATTTTTATCATTAACTCATGCATATAACTATATTTTGGTAGTAGAGAGATTATTTTAAGAAGTTAATTGTGGGGTAATTAAAATGTTTTAATTAGTTTGGTGTTTGATTTATAGGATGAATGTCGTACCTATTTCAAACGATCATCTCATACGTTAAACATATAACACAAAACCTAATTCTAGCTCTTTGCTTGTTTTATAAGGGAATAATCTTCCAATGTTTTATTTGTTTAAGATGCATTAAACATCCAATAAAAAATTTATAAAGTATCCGATCAAAAATATTAAATGATTTTTAAAACCCGACATAAATTCAAACTATTCATAATTATATTTTCAATTTTTAATAGGAAAAAAGTTATGCACCTTTTAAATTACTCTCACAAAATTAAAAATAAACAGAGTATTACTTACTATGAACCAAGAAAAGGGAAATATAAGGGAAGTTAACCGGCGATTTTGTAACTCGGGTTAGCGAGGTTCTCTAAACCGGAGACAACTTGAATGGATTCAATAACATCACCAACTTTAAGATCAGCTAGAAAATCTTCGTTATCAGTAACGTAACCAAAGACGGCGTAACGACCGTCCAAGATGTTGGAATTGCTTGGAGTCAGCTCGCTCTCTTTCAGCAGCCAAAACACTTGGCTTGATCCTGAGTCATTCTCAAACTCCTGTATTTATATGTACAATACACTAAATAAGTATATGTTTCATAAGACATAATATAAACTATGAAAGAAAAGAAGTTGAAGAAGAAAGGACTCACTTCTCTTGCCATTGCCATTGTCCCAAATGCGTTGAAAGGAAGCATAACCTGAGCCTTGTAAAGACCCAGTTCCTGTTCACCAACATCCACAAAACCAAACAAAGCTTAAAAGGATGTTATCAACTATAATACAAGTCTCTGACAAGGAGAGATTTTGAGAGATTTACTTCAAGAGTTGAGCCGTAAAAAGGCGTTTTCTTTCCAGTCACCATAATCTCTAGAGGAATCGTCCGCGTTTTCTCTGTGCTTGGATCAATAAATCCTTCTGCAGGACCCTCTGGATCTCCTGTTTGTACCACAAATCCATCAGCTGAAAAAACAAAAAAAACACACATTATTCAACATTTTTTTAAATCGCATATCTTAAACCAAAACTGAATTTTACTGTCTTACATCTCTGGATCTCCATGCCATCATAGAAATGCCGCTCTACCAAGTCCACAAAGTTCCCGGCAGTAACAGGGGCGTTATAACCATCAAGAACAATGCGGAACACACAGTCCTCGATGTTGGGATTGTCCTTGATCTTGACCTTCATGTCCACACTGGCTCTTCCCTTGAGAAGAGGCATGTTTCGATACTCTTCCGGCACTTCATATGGGAAGCCATCAACCATATCCTCTTCTATTCTGCGAATGCCCCACACGAAGATCTCAGCTGCAGTCATCAATCACAAAGGGTCTAAATGAGCACAACCCATCTCATTTCTCTATTTCTCATTCCTCATTCATACCCCTTATGTTAAAACTTACCCGCCAACATATTTGAGAATTTCTTTCTGTTTTGAAGCAACCTCATCTCTTTTCCGATCTTCCACAATCTTTAGCATATCTTGCATACCAGCTTCCAACTTTTCGATCATTTCATTACCATGATCCTTCTTCGATTCAGCAAAACCTGCCACAATCATAGTTTTCCCTTGCTGCAATGATCTATTTGCCTGCCTCACATTCTACAATAGCCAAACACAACAACAATAAAATGCTCAGATTCCTTGAAAAACAGAACATAAACCTGCAATATAAAAATTTTTGGGATCACCACAAGTCTTTACCCGTTCAACAGAATCGAGAGCCTTAACGCCAGCAATCTTGAGGCTATCAGTGATATCTTCAAGCGGCTTCTGTACTTCTCTGATGGCTTTGTTGTCAATAGGCAATGCATATCTTAGTAAAGCTTCTGGATCTTTAATCGGAGGACCAGAGATCAACACTGAAACATCTGGAATGGCTGGATTAGCCACTGCGTAAGCATTGGGAGGCGAAGCAATCGAAGGTACTGAAGCTATTAAACCAACCGATAAAGCTAATGAAATGGCACATTCTTTCAATGATGCAAATGTCCCTCTCTGCATTCAAAAACAGAGATATCAATCAGTTTTAGATGCCGTGAGCAATAAGTTTTGCAGTTATAGACAACAATCTCACATTGCAATGACAAAGGATTGATTTTGATCTCTTTACCCATCAAATTAGTAAAAATCCAACTGATTCAAAGTCTCAAACAGTCAAATCGACTTTTACAAACTTTTATCACATTGTGGATTAGGTCTAGGGTTTATATCCAATTCACAGGATTAAAAGGAAGAAACAGAGAATGGCATCAGTAAGACCGGAACCTGCTTATTTTCACGAGTGTTGCCGGAACAAGAACGAACTTGGAGGGGGTTTTTGGAGCAAGAAAAATCGATTCTTCTCCTGGGAAATCTGGAGGAATTGAGGACACTAAATGTGGGAAGAGAGGCAAACGACGCCGCCATTGGAGATCGATAGTTAAAATTGAAAAAGAGTTTGGAGAGAGATGATTTTTCAGAGACAGACCAAAGGAATTGACATTGGATTAGGGAGTTTTTGTTCTGTCCGAAAAGAACATGAGAAAAGAAAGTAACTCTGTCTATAGTAAAATGTCTGTGTCTGCGTCGGATTTTTGAATTGATGATGAAGAAGAGGATAAGGGGTTTTTGTGACTCCGCTTCTTTCTCTCTCACACTCTGGAATCTGGATAAGATTACAATTTCCTTCCGGATTCTTTTTCTTTGTAATTTAGTAAGATGGGCCGATAGTTGGGCCTACCTTGCATGATCTGTTTAGTTATCATCTTTTTCTCTGTGATTTAGTATGATGGGCCGTTAGTTGGCCTTTGTTTGCATGATCTGTTTAGTTATATGGGCCTGTACATTTACATATATTCATAGAATCATCATAGTGAGCATATCCGTTCTGTTATTTTTTTTTTTTTTTTTTTTTTGTCTGAATGATTCCATATATTCAATAACAAAAGGTCACATACAAAAAGAAACGAATGCAATCAAACAACAGAAACTCATTACACAGTAGTAATGCATTTATCATTTTCAAACACTTTCTGAAGCCAAAAGGGGTAGCTACTTGCTACGTATGATTGTAAACGTTCCTCTTTAGTGACACTCCTAGCAATCAAGACAGCTCCGAGATTACCTTTCCGATCTTCATGAACCACTCTCCAAGCTGGTAGAAAGGATAAGGCGAGAAGGAGACATTCTGAGTGAGATTTGAAGTTAGGCCAAGCTGCAGGTCGAAGGACAGCACCTGCCAACTCAATCGACTCAAAAGCAAAAATCACTCTATGAATATGAAGATCATGCATGGCCTTGATAGCCCAAATACAACCTTGGAGTTCGGCTTCACCCTTCGAGGAAATAGATGGTAAAGCAGCCCTACTATGGAGAAGAACAATACCTTCAGAATTTCGCAAAACCCAGGCCACACCACAAATATTTTTCTTCTTACTCCAAGAGGAAGCCACATTGCATTTTAACCAAGGCTTTGGAGGAGGCCTCCACTTATGATTGTAATCTTGAGTTTGGGCAATAGAGAGGACAGAATCTTGAGACTCCAAAACCTGAGCTTGAAACCACTCCTCAGAATCTTCCTTGAATCTTAGTAGGATATCTTTTGGTGTGGAAGCCAAACCTTCAAAGAAAAGGCTGTTTCTGTTCTTCCACAAAGACCAAAGAATCCAAGGAGGTGATCTTCTTACTTCAATAGGGACTCTGGAATTCTTACACATCAAAATCACATGGAACAGATTCTGATAAATAGAACGAGGATCAAAACCATCCTTTGGTAGGGGCAAACCAGAAAGAGCCCAAATCTGTCTTGAAAAGGAACAAGTGAAGAGCACATGATTTATTGATTCCCCTTCAAGACCACAAATATGGCAGCGTTGGTCCACCGTCATTCCCCTAGTGCTCAGCCGTTCCGCCACAGGTAAAGCTCCACTAATTGCTTTCCAAATGAAGATCTTGATTTTTGATGGAGCAAGTAGCTTCCAGATTTGCTCTTTAATCCCATTTAAGGATGGAAGCATGGATATCTGACGGATAGCCTCTTCATTTTGCTCTTGGGACGCCAACCAATAACCAGACTTAACACTGTAAACACCACTTTTATTGTGCCTCCAGCATTTGAAGTCAGGAGAAGAGAGAACAGGTTTGGTCTTTTTAATAATCTCAATATCTCTAGGAAAGAAATGATCATTAAGGATTGAGAGATCCCAGTCCCTAGTCTCCAAATTAATGAGCTCCCTTACAGATAACTCCAAATCCACCAGAATGTTCTTCATGAAGGGAGCTCTCATACGGCTGCCATCCTCTAACCACAATGTTGTCCAAACCAAAAGAGAGTTACCATCACCAACCTTCTGAATTAAACCTTTTTCAAGTAAATCCCTTCCATGCATAACACTTCTCCAACCAAAAGAGGGTCGTGAACCCATGGTAGCCTCAAGAAAAGAAGAGTCAGAGAAGTACCTGCTCTTCAAGAAACGGCCTAAGAGACATTCAGGAGCAGATAATAGCCTCCAGGCCTGTTTAGCAAGGAGAGCTTGATTAAAGAGCTCTATATCTTTAAAACCCAACCCTCCTAAGCTTTTTGGCAAACAAAGTTTCTCCCAAGCAACCCAACTGATCTTTCTATGATTCTCCATAGTGCTCCACCAAAAAGAAGACATAGCGCTTGATAAGGACTCACACGTGGCCTTAGGTAATTTAAAGCACGACATGGCATAGACCGGCATCGCCATTGCCACAGTCTTCAAGAGAATCTCTTTTCCACCTTGAGAGAGAGTCTTAGCAAACCAACCGGAGAGTCTGTTCTTAAGCTTCACATGAATGTACTCCAACATCTCCTTTTTAGAGCCACTAAAACATTCTGGTAATCCCAAGTAGGTACCAGCACCTCCCTCTTTTTCCATTCCCATTTTACTCTTCACCAAAGCCCTTAGATTCTCCTCAACCTTGTCGCCAAAAGTAATTGAGGACTTATCAAGATTGATGGTCTGCCCAGTAGCAGTTCCATAGATAGTCAAAATGTTTTGCAGGGCACCACTTTGATCCTCATCAGCTTTACACACAAACAAGCTGTCATCGGCGAAGAGC